CTGCCAAAGTTCAGGCGGTTATTTGGCCACAAAGCAGGCTTTGGCAAGGAACATGGAAATACAGTGTGTTACACTACCACTGCTGGACTTACAAAGGCCAGTGTCTACGGCAGCTTTCCGCTCTGATAAGGTCCTTAAGCCTTTCTTCAGCAGAACGGCTGCATGCTCAAAATGTTTGGGTTTGCACCAAGAGTCTGGAATCATTGTCCTCTTTTTGTTTCTTTTAGCTTGGGAACATCCCGAGATCTCCAAAGTGGAATTAAAATACACAGAGGAGTTCATTTGTTTCAACAAGTGGCCTAAAAGTGGCTTTCTCCCTTCTATGGCCAGTTTGGCTGACATTTAATCCATGCAAGGCTGGGAGCTTGGTTTCTGCATTGGAAACTAGTAAATGTCATTCGCACAGATTTACACATTCAGTAGACTGAGGCAGCTTTCATCTGCAAAGTGTCAAAGTTCAATGGATGCCAAGTCTGGGGGGAGGGGGACGAGGAATGGTTTCTGCTGTCTTCATACATTTTGCCTCCATCAACTGGATCTGTTTTCTCCTTTGCTCACAGGGAAAGGGTGCGTGTGTTTATGTGTTGCTATATACAGTTGTGCATTTCGGTCCTGTTTGTGGGTTGCTACTTGCAGTTAACCTGGGAGTGTTTATACAGTGCAGTCCCTATGCATATTAATTCTGAAGGAAATCCCACTCTGTTGCATAGTGCATGCTCTCAGGTATTTAGGACTTTCAGTGTTATGTTCTGTGGTTAGCTCTGGAGATTGCAAAGAACATAAGTATCGCAGAAAACAGGAGTCCTGTGTCAGGCTCTTTCCATTGGTAGGGTCTAGTTCAACTTGCTCTGTACCCTGATGCTATTTCAATCATTTCACCAGCAGCAGCCAATTAAAAGCACATTGAAATGATGGAAGGGCTCAGGGTAGGTTAAGCTAGTTGTGGGAGTGAGGGAGGGTAGAAAAGCTCAATGCAGACCTGCAGTTTTTGTTACAATAGCCTGTTACTCTTTGTAAAGTGAAGGTAAGTGAAATCCCTGCAATGAAATAGAGAAAGAAAATAATATAGACAAAGCCCAGAGGAAATCTTTTCAGCACAGGGAAAACTTCTGCTACGCGAAAACTGGATCGTAAAGGTTCTGTGAAAGTACAATTACTGCCCAATTAAAGGAAACTTAATCAATTGATTAAACAAATTGAATAATGTATAAATTTGCTCAGGCAATTTGTTTTAAAGATTTAAACTTTTTATCACCTTGTTTTATGGGGGGATACATGCTTGGTTTTGAAGGCACCATCTTAGGTTATATGTTCCCTTCTCTGTGAAAGTGAAGGAAGACTATCTCTTCCAATGTGGACCTAGCCAATTTTAGGGGAGTAGACTCAGATTTCGCTATCTGAACACAATGCATTATCAGGAAATCGTTTGTTAGGTAAGCGTTCGCAGAATGAGTCAACAATTTCCATTAATTTCTGTGGTAAAAATTCTACTGTGTTCTCGGCTGTGGAATTTTGACCCCAAAGTGATGAAGAAACTCAAGAAAACCTTCTGAAACCTTGCAGAAGGGAAGCAAGGAATGTCCAGTGTCTCACTCCCTCTCTCCCTAATGATTTCTGGTGAAACGGCTGCACACACCGGCAAAACACAAAAAAGTGAGACTTGTTTAAGGTTGCTTATTTGTTTACAGGCAGGTCTGGCTATTTGGATATCTGAATCTGCAGTGTGTATAGTGAGGTTTGGGTACTAATTGCTCTTGTTTGGATAAGTGAATTTTCATATAATGAACATTTGGATAGTGGAGCCTGTGTGTATATTAAAATGTGTTGGGGAAGTCTTTTCAGTTGATTTAAAACTGGGGCAGGGAACTTGTAGCCCCCCCCCCAGATGTTGCTGACCTATAATTTTCTAGCATCCCTGAATGTTCACCATGCTAGCTTAGTCTGATGGGAGTTAGATACCAACAATATCTGGAAGGCCACGTGTTCTCCGCAGTGAGTCAAAAGTTGTTGTTTTTTAACTAACTGATTAATTAATTAAAGGTTACAGTCCTGATTAAAAGAACAGAGCTCTGGTCAACACATTATCTTACTGGAGGCAAAAAAGGGGAGTAGGCCGGTCCCACACACCATAGTGGATTTCTGGCAAAACAATTGGCTACGGCCTCTGCTTCTTCTATATTTTCTTTCCCTTGTGGGCTGGCAGTTGGAAGTGTGTGGATAATTAGTACTGGGGGGAGGCTGGATGTGGCCAGTTGTTGACACCTCAAGAATACCGTCAAACAGAGGTGGTCAAAATGCTGTTAACTAATCTCATGGAAAGTTGTATCTGGGTGAAATGGAACATGGTAAGGGACATATTACAGTTCTGCCAAAACAGAATTTGTGAGGTGATTCTCTCTTGAATTAAAACTGTTGAACGGTTAATAAGAACTGTAGAACAACTATGCCCAAATTGCTATTGCAGATTTTAAGATGCCTTTCTACCCTAATGGGGGAACCAGTTACTATTTATTTCAATGGGAGAATAAGCCAAGGGGGAGGGGAGGAAATTCTTAAAGCAGACTCCTGCAGTTTATTTTTTTCTCTTATTAGCTGTTCATCTCCACAATAGCCTACGAAAAGAGTTCTCCAAAGCCTAATTATAATAAATTCGTGGATGACTCATGCTGACCACATTCGCAATTCCTCTTCTCCCCACAGAAATCTTGGATAGTCCCACAGCACATTATTATTTTCCCTGATAATTTTCTCAGAACTGCAAGCTTCCTTGGCGCACGTTAAGGCACACATTTTGATTTAATATTTCTGTAGAACCCCATCTGATTTAGAAGTTTGAGGCAGCTAGCAGTAAAAGCAGGACGAAGAAACCAAAACCCATCAAATATCCAACACGCCAAACAGGACTACATGTGAGGGGAAATAGGGTACTAGCAGAAACGGCATTCCCATGTTTAGCAATTTCTCCACAATCTAGTATGTGGTAGCACACGCCATTTGTAATTATGCCATGGTGCTGTTAACAGATTGTAGGCCTCAAGGCAGGGGGCCACAGTTACTCTTAGCACTTTTGAAGTAGTTGATTCTTATGTACCTTCCCACAGACATGCTCACATCATTCCTGTCCCCTCCAACAATTCCCTCCCCCTAAGCTACTTTTCCATTGTAGGGGAATTTTTCGGCACTTTCCCACCCAGATCTGTAGCCAAGCTGGGGCAAATGGGTACCCAGCCACCCGTGAGCTGTGCTTTACCTCTGCTGTCTCCTCCACCCCATTTTTTTTTGGGGGGGGGTGTCTTTTTAATTTGTGACAATGACAGCCTCCATCTAAAGCAGTGTTTCCCAAACTTGGGTTCTCCAAACTTTGGGACTACAACTCCCCTCATCTCTAGCTAGAAAGACCAGTGGTCAGGGATGATGGGAATTGTAGTCCTGAAACAGCTGGAGAACCCAAGTTTGGGAAACCCTGATCCAAAGCATGACAGCTTGTTTTAAAAACAGGAGCAATTTAAGAACCGGGCCCTCTGAAAAAAAATTAGTGAACAAGGCAGGGTACATGTATAACAGAACCTCAGCTGGAAGAGCCCCTCCCCCAAAGTCAGCCCAGCAGCCATAAAGGGGGGGGGGGAATCAAATTAATTTCCACAGTTGGATTCCAATCACCTAGCCCTAGAAAGGACGGTAGAGACAAAAAGATTGGGTGCCCCCTGAGCATTTCAGCGCCAGATTGGTTTGCCCCTTTGTTACTGAAAGGATCATCACAAGGATAGGAGTGGAATTGGGATTGTTGCCTGAGTGAAGTAAAAGAAGGGTAGTAACAAAGGAAGGAATGGTTCAGTGACACCCGTGCCCTGGGAATTTATTTGAGAATTTCCACATCCCTGTGTGCAATATGCATTCTCTCAGGCTGCATCCACACCATATTTTTACAGCGCTGTTGAATCCCTTTAACAATAATGACTCCCCCCCCCAAAGAATCCTGGGAATTCTATAGTTAAAGGTGGGGAGAGTTTTTAGGAGACCCCTATTCCCCTCACATAACTACAATTCCCAAGTTCCGTGGGAGGAGAGATGGATTGTTAAACTACTCTGGAAATTGTGAGAATCGGGGTCTCCCAACAACTCTTGGCCCCCTTAACAAACTACAGTTTCCCAGGATTTGGGCGGGGGGGGGGGTTCCACAACAGTTAAAAACGGTTTAGTAGTGCTTTAATTGTATGGTGCAGATGTGGACTCACTCTCAAAGGCCATAAGTGGGGAAGTTACACTTTTGGGTCAAGATTCGGTCCTCAGTATCTGTAGAAAAGTTTTGTGTTCATTTGTTCAATTTGTATCCTGCCCCTTTCTCTCTGAAGGGTACCCAGGGCAGTCAGCAGCACAAAACCCGAAATAAAACAACATCCAGTTTGCAATAATTAAAATGCCCTAAAACTCCTAAATGCACCTATCCGCTGCCGAAAGCCTGGAGAAATAGCAAAACATAACCATTTCCAGAAGGGTAGCTGTGTTAGCCTGTTGCAGCAAAAACAACATCAGCTGCATCTGATGAAGCAGGACTCTGGTTCATGAAAACTAAGCCATAATAAATGTGTTAGCCTTTAAGGTGCCACAAGGCATTTTGTTGTTATATAAAAATGGATGTCAGATGGCTGGGATCAGAAAGCCCTCTTCCCAGAGAACTGCTGTGAATTGATATCTAAGCCCTGTTTTGACTCAATGGAAGCCATCTTCACTTATTCGTCACCATAGATTGCAGTTTACAGAATAATACAAGCAAATAATAGATTCTCTGCACCTTAAAACCCCAAATTTTGACAGTGGAGAAGGCAATGGTTTTGTTTTTTCCCAATAATCATTTTTTATTTTGTCTTGAACTAAAATTGCATTAGCCTTTCACTTTTGTTTTTTATTGTCCTGTATGACTCATGGGATTTATCCTTGCACTCTCCATTAATAGTGGGGTTTTGAAGTTTAATATTCTGTCTGGCATTTTTTCTTTTTAGGTTTTGTGCAATGGCCCAGGAACTTGCGTTCCCATATGCGCATCTGCCCTCCTGCTCAGGATGCTGGGGATAAAAAGCGTAACCATTGTATACGTCGAGAGCATCTGCCGCGTGGAAAACCTGTCTCTGTCCGGGAAGATCCTTTACCACTTTTCAGATTATTTCATCGTCCAGTGGCCTGCGCTCAAAGAAAAGTATCCCAAGTCTCTCTATCTTGGGCGAATCGTGTGACAAGAAAGGACAAGCTCAATGTGTTTTAGTACCAACGCTGATGTTTTTCCCCAACCGGTCCTTCATAAGTTTACACAAGTCGAGCAAGACTCATCAGTGTATTTCTAAAAACCAAAGTGGACCGTATGTGCGTACCGCCCAGTATCACATAGCTGGACGCCACAAGATTATGCTTCTCTTTCCAGTTGCTGTCAGGAACTCAACTCTACCTCTATTGCGTCACTTTGGCTTCCAGGACTGCCGTCCTTCATCCTCATCTCTTAAAAAAGTCCCTTTCTCATGAGTCAGGGAATAAGGTAAATGGAGTAATATGGCAGGGGGGGGGGGAGAATATTAGTTTGTGATGAAATTGCACAGCGGAGTGGAATATTTATGCGGTGTCCATCAAGGTGCATGGCACTGTAAAAAACAGTAGGGGGGAAAAGTCTGCCCCCTCCCCAGCTTACATTGGATATAAGTATTTATTTCAATTTTCTTTGTTTTGGTTTTCCTTTTTTACTTTATGTTTTGTATGCACACACATACACACACACACACTTCATATACGTATAAAACACAAAACTGACGTTTGATGTTGGCTTATCCCTAAGGTACCACCTAGGAATCATGGAAGTAGGGCTGGTCCCCCGCAATCATCTCATTCCCGATCACAAAATAATGTTTTATTCACCTACTGTGACAAGTTTTTCCCCAGTCACTAAAGGCGAGAATGTTGGCTGGTGCTCTAGTCTATTGCAATGAGATCCCGTTGAGATTTTATATGGAGAATTCCAACTGATAAGATACTGGCCTTGGTCAGATGTTGACATTCCACATTTCCTTCTGCCCTCTTTTCCATGTTGAACAAGTCAGAACTGGAATGGGCTGTATTTGTTTGCACGCAGTTTCTCCCTGACCTGTTCACTCTACCCGTTACCCGCCTTCTGGTGTAAGACTATGTGGTGTGTTGGGATCCTGAGGTCTCTCCTTAAAGGCCATTCGGGGCAGTGGCTTTAGAGCCATAGCTGCACTGAGCGGTTGCTTAAACATACCCCTTAAATTATAAGAAACAGAATCTTGTTCTGGTACCACATCCCTTGTTTCCTGTATGCAAGCAGCAAAATCCCTAGTGAATATTTTGAGCATAAAGGAAACGGTCGTATTAACTTGGCCTGAGGACAGTTTTCGTTCTGCAGCCTTTCCAAAAAAGAAACCCCATAGCATTAAATCCAGTATCATTTTTCCTTTTGGCCTCTCAAAAGTTGGCCCTGTGTTCTAAAGTAAGCTTTCTAAAGCATTGTGTTTAATTGTTAAGATAAATAAAGAGGTAGCGGATGTCACAAGCAGATGAACCGCGTGTGCACAAGGGAGACAGATTTTTTCCAAGCCGAGCGTTAAATCTTTTAACAGTGTTGAATTACAGGGAGGAAACTGTCATTAGGAAGCAGTGAGACTCTTTAGCCCACTTTGCAGCCCCATGTGTGGATAACGAGCGTTAATGATGCCAAAAAAAGGTAAAATGTCACTTTCTCAGTGAACTTAAGTATATGTAGGTTTTGTATGTTTGAAAGTTCAAGACATGTTTAGTTAGCGCGTGAAGCCATTCCCTCCCTTAAATGGGATATGGCATTTAATATCAAACACTGTGAGAAAATAGATATTGTGGAAGACTGGATTTTGCTAAGTCTGTTGCAGCCTTTTTCACCCATCTGGCAAATCATAACTATATATGTTGTTCTGTATATAGAGCAATGTAAACACATCTGTCATCTGCATATACTGAGTCACATCGATGAACAAATTTTGGCTGGAGAAACATATACATTGAAGAGAGTAACAGAAAAGTGGGAGAGGTCCACACGATGCACAAACGAAACACGAGGAAGCCAAACAATAATCCTATACATCACTGCAAGAGAGTGATAGTTTTTACTTTCTATAGTAACTGTGACTTTTGATCATTTTTTCTAGAGGGATGTTAAAATATGGAGAGGGATAGCTTTGATACGAAGAAGCGAAGGTGCCTGTGGTTTGCAAACTGTTCGGATGAGTAGGGTTTTTTTAAAAAAATTAAAAGCCTGCTTCTCTATAAGTATTCATCTTGATGCTGCCATGTTGATAAGGGAAATAACATTTATCAGAAGGTGCTCTTCAGTTTGGCCGAAAGGTATGCTTCAATTAATATCCCATGAAGCCTAATTCACATTTTGGGAACACTCTGTTTTCATTTCGTTAGAGGAACTGGCATCTACATGAAGCTACTGGAAGACATCATCTGGTGATTTGGAGCATGGCGCCACCAACATGCAGGTCCACCCAGCTCCGTATCTCCATCGGAAAGGCTGTGCAGGTGCTGGATCTGTGTCTGGAGTCTGATGGACTAGATGAGGACCAGTAAATGGATGTTAAATCCTGAGAAGATTGAGATGCTGTGGGTCAGCCATTCCCAAGTTCAGGAGTTAGGAAGATGGGCTGCCCTGGGTGGGGTAAAACTCCCACTGAAAGAGTAGCTATGTAATTCTCATCAATTCCAAGGTGTCACTAGTGACTACAGTGATAAGGAGCGCTGATGCCCAGCTCTGGATGTTTCACCAGCTACCACTGTTCCTGGACCAAGATAGTCTAACCTTGAATATCCATGTTCTAATAGCCTGTATAGGCTACTACAGGTATTCTTGAAAATAGGCCAGAAGCTGCAGCTGATACAAAATCCCACCGAAAGAGCAGTGAGAAGGAATCTTATCGCCTGATCTTCACTGCATTGGCTGCCAGTGAACTACCACATACAGTTCAAAGTGCTAGTAATTGAAGGAGCGCCTTCCTCAGTACAGTGGTACCTCAGGTTACAGACGCTTCAGGTTACAGACGCTTCAGGTTACAGACTCCGCTAACCCAGAAATAGTACCTCGGGTTAAGAACTTTACTTCAGGATGAGAACAGAAATCGCGCGGCAGCAGCAGCAGCGGGAGGCCCCATTAGCTAAAGTGATACCTCAGGTTAAGAACAGTTTCAGGTTAAGAATGGACCTCCAGAACGACTTAAGTTCTTAACCCGAGGTACCACTGTACTTTCTAATCTGGACTTTATGTTCAATGGGAGAGGCCCTGCTCATGGTTCCATCAGTGTTGGCAGCAAGGAAGACAGTCACACAAGACAGCATTCTCAGGGGCAGCACCTTGCCTATGGAACAAGCTGGTTTTCTCCTGCTCTGGAGGGTAGGACTCGAACCAATGGCTTCAAGTTACAAGAAAGGAGATTCTCAGTAAACATCAGGAAGAACTTTCTGACAGTAAGAGCCGTTTGACACAGCCCTTGGAAGGTTGTGGACTCTCCTTCCTTGGAGGTTTTTAAGCAGAGGTTGGGTGGCCATCAGTCATGGATGCTTTAGCTGAGATTGCTGCATTGCAGGGGGTTGGACTAGATGACTCTCAGGATCCCTCCCAACTCTATGATTCTATGAACCTCCTCCTGGGTGAAATCAGGATGTCCTCCACTCTAGGCAGAATTTGGAAGCTCACCTATTTGTCTAGGCCTTGGAGGTTTAACTGGTGTTATGGAGCTCTTGGCTGCTGCTGTTTTTATTGATGAGAACCTGTTAGTTCATTTAATGGTTTTGTGAAGAATGCGTTGTTTTGTGCTGTTAGCCACTCTGTGCTCCATTGTAGGATGAAAGGCAGGATACAAAAATGTGAAATATATTTTTTAAAAGAAATTAACAAATATTCCCATCCAGTGTGAACACATAGACCTCAGCTTTCCTTACTGTGGAAAACAGTGTTTGGTTTCTAGTGCATTTTTATCCTTTGGCTTAGGTGTGAAATAAATCAAATACCCAAAAGTAACCTTGTGTTTAGCTGCTGCAGAGCCATTAATGTGTTTAATGGCTTCTACATGGAACCTAAAGGGATAAAACGCTTTCTTGGGAAGAATTCTGTGCAAAATGTATGCCTCAGCACTTAATATCCTTGGGAATGACCTGACCCTGGCTTCGACTTATGTGTGCTAGCTTTTGGCCTAGTAACTCAAATGGGGGTTATATTATCAGGACTTCCTGCAGCCTTGCAAATTGTTTCGGTAAATAAAGGAAGATGTACTTACTGCCTGTTATGGCTAAAACTCTTTTCGTTCCCTGGGAATATTTATTGCACGGTCCTTATGGATTTTTGTGTCACTCAATTTGTTCTGTAGCCTAAAAGATGCTGCTGCACTGCGTTTGCTTACATGTGGAACAACTCCCATAGCTCAGTGTTAATAAAAAACATAGGTGGTTGGAGGACTCTGGTTGGCTCCCCCACATTTCCAGTTGAAGCAGTGATGGGGAAGCTGTGGTCTTCCAGATGTTGCTGGACTCTTAATTCCCATCAGCCCCAACCAGCTGATGATGAGAGTTGTAAGCTGACAACATCTGGAGGGCCAAAGATTCTCTATACCCGAGTTGAAGGATTTCAGCAAGACAGTGGCGAGACACACTTGCTCTAACAGTGAAGACCTATATACTAAACCAGACCATTTGGTCCATTAATGCTAGATACAAATAAAGCAGATCATCATCATCATCATCATTATATAATTTATATCCTCGCCTTTTAAGAGGAAAAATCAGTAATTGGTTTTCAAGTATCCTAACTAACTAACTAACTAGATTTTTAAAAATCCATCGGTTAAGAACAATCTCAGCTGATAACCAGGATAATAAGCCTTTTAAACATCAGTAAAGGCCTAAGTAAGCAAGCCTAGGTTTTTAACAAGCATTTAAAACATCCAAGCAATGAAGTTTCCTGAATCTCTTGAGGGTGTCCAGAGGGTTGGTGCAAAAACTGAAAAAGCCCATTTCCACAATGTTTCCAGAGGACAATTCATGGGGCCATAGTATAGCCAGCCGGGTCTTCTCCTAAAAATGCGAGAAATGGCTGTGGTGCAGAAGCATTTGTGGGCAAGAAGATAGGAGCTGGGTAGTTAACCCTTCCCTTGCCTGCTGCTTTTCCTCTTCAACTCCACCCTTCTCCAGCCCTCTATTTTCTCTCCATTTGCAGGGCAGGAAGGGAGGAAAGGGAGGCGGCCAGGTGGAGAGGTTGCAGAGGAGAAGCTGGGACCGATGAAAGCTTTCCCCCTGCAAATGCCACTCCCCTGCTTCCAACCCTGCTTTGCGCATTGGTGCCTCATTGTCAGCAAACAATCAGTTGGGAATCCCTATCAGTTATCAATGCATAACATAGTTGTTGTTGTTTTTCCAAAGTGGGGAGGGAACATGACATTAAAAACTCACGTAGGCCATCCTTAGCAACTTTGAGGCAGGGTGGTAGAGAGATAAAGCTGA